TAGTTCCAGTCCCCAGCCATGGGGTTATGCTTCTTATTTAGCCACAAATAAAAGTTTCGGAGTTGTTCCTATTCCCCTTGTGCTCCCCAGCACTCCCAAAGCAACTAGTGGGAGGCACATTCTCCTGAATCACGAAGCTGTGACGTTATTTTAAGCGAGGGGACACTTCAACCCAGCTGTAAATCCTTTTAAAGCACATTCACAGCTGCAAATCCTATTAAAGCACAGCGGCAAAAATTGTCCCAGCACTTTAAATACTTTTTTTTTTTTTTTTTTTAAAAAAGCAGAGAAAAAGCCTCGCCTGAATGTGCCAAGAGAGCTCAAAGCAAACAGCTTTAAAAAGCCTGTTCCTGTCACGACTCAACACACCTTGTGACGGAGCAAAGCCTACAAAGAGCTGCAGCCCACAAGCACCATTTGGGTAAAGAACTCGGCATCGGAGCTGGAATGGCTCTGCCCCAAAAATCCTGTGGGAAAGAGCACCTGCACTAACTGGAAAAAAAAAAAAAAAAAAAAAAAGAGCCAGAAAGGCAAAAGTGGATTAAAAATATTTCAGTAGAAAAAGATGGCAAAGTCTTCAATAAAGATGTTTTTTTCCTCTCTGGGTTCTCACGCTTCCCTCCGCTCTGAAGATGCGAATTGCAGTTTGGAAACAGCGCTAAAAAAAGGATGGGGGGCGGGGGGGGTAAAGGACAAAATAGAGGCTGGATGAATGAGCATGGAAGGGGGGAATGAGCATGGAAATGTGAACTCGGCCAGCTCTGGAGAGGCGCAGTGGAGGGCGGGGACCAGCCGGTGGCAGCAGCCGCTCGCCACAAAGGCATTTCCTGCTCCACGGCTGGGGTATGGAATTCTGCTCCAGCCTGCATCCCACAGCACTTTGGGCACCTCTTGGTACTTCCCCAACCTGCTGCAATTATTCGAGAGATGCTCCAGAAACGTTTAAAAACCAAAACGCTAAAGAAACACAGCGGGATTTTGGAAATTCCATTCACCCAGTGGTGTTTCTGCGGGCCTGGGATCTCTGGCCTTCAATTCCAGCTGCTGGTTCGGAGGCTGCAGCTCCAGCAGAGCTTCCCTTGTTATCTGAATGGAAATGGGAGTGTTTTTACCCCTTGTGCCTTTTGTAAGAGCTCATGTGGGTGAACTAAACCTGCTCTGGGTCAGAACACAACCCTGCCCGCTCCGGGGCTCTGAGCCCTTGGCTTCACCTCCACCTTCCCTGTCCCACAGGGATGTGACAACAGGAAAAGGGACACAGAGTTATCTCCCCTCACAGACACGACAAGTCGGTGATTTGCAGAGTCCCCGGCAGAGGTTTGATGGGGCTGAAGTGCCGAACAGGAACGTTTCCAAGATTAGGGACGGTCACAGCCCGTGTGTTCATGAACAGATGGACACAGGAGGGCTCACAGCCCACCCTGCCTCAGGCGGACACGCTGCCACCAACCTGGGTGGTGCCAATAACCCCCGTTATTCCCCTCCCTGCCCCACTCACTACCAGCCCCAGAGATCGGGTCTCTCTTTCCCTTCCTTCCAGCGAGGCCTCACGGGGCTGGATGGGGGATAACCCCAAACCCCACACCCCAGCCCAGCCCTTCGGCCCCACGCCTGACCCGGCACACCCTCACAGGTGGAACCCGTGGGCGAGGCCTCCCCACGGTCCCGATCCCAGTCCTGACCCTAACCCCAGTCCCGGTGGTCCCAATCACAGTCCCAATCCCGGTGGGGTCCCGGTCCCGATCTCCATCCTGATCCCGGTGAGCCCAACCCCAATGGTCGCGGACCATCCCAATCCCGGTGCGCCTGATCCCGATCCCAATCCCGATCCTGATCCCGTTTGGGGTCGGAGCAGTGACCGCCCCCCCCCCCCCGGCCCCGCCCCCCGGGCTCCCCCCCCGCCCCACCTTGAGCGCGCGGCTCCTCCGCGCGCCGGCTGCCTTATCGCGCCACTTCCGGCCACGCCCCTTTCTGGCGTCACATGAGGACCGAGTGTCTGCGGGGGGGAAGGGCCGGGCGGCGCCATGTTTGTTGCGGGCGGGGGGCGCCATGTTTGTTGAGGGCGGGGGGCGCCATGTTTGTTGAGGGCGGGCCGGGATGAGGGGCACGGGGACCTGAGGAGGGGCAGGGGGGCTGTGGGGGGGTCAAGGAGGTGCTTCAAGGAATTCCTGCAGGAATTGAGAGTCTGGGGTACAAATCAGGCCAAAGCACCGAGGATTTGCGCTGGAGGCAGCCCAGCCAAGTTGGAGGTCAGGGGTGGCTCCCAGAACAGCCCCAGTAACACACAGGGAACACTGTTTAATCTCATTTTACTCATTTCTCATCTATGCCACTTTTCTTTTTCACTAATACAGGAGCGTCTGTATTGGGGGAACAGAATTACTCCCCTCGGATCAACTGGGTGTATAAATACCGGTAAAATGGGTGTTTAGCGCCACTCCTGCCTCTCCTTTCCCTCCCTAAAGCAGCATTCGCTCGGTATTAAATCCACCACAACAGG